TTGTTTGTTTGTTTCAGATTTATTTAGCATTAATGCTACAATGTCCATAATATCCATATTACACAGTATATCACAAAATATATTATGTCTTCAAGACTACATATTTTTATACAAAATTTCATTACTATGAATTCTGATTTTCTATGAGATATGTTTTCAATTTCCCTTTTTTTTATTTTATTTTATACATAAATGATTTACCTGCCATAGTCAAAAAATGCAAAATTCAAATTTTCGCCGATGACACTATGATTTATATAAGTACTAAAAATATTCAGTCTGGTATCTCTTATATAAATGAAGACTTGGAGCTTGTCTCAGAATGGTTAGCATCTAACAGACTAAAATTAAATGCAAGTAAAACGAAAGCCTTGTTAATCGGAAAAAAACAATGTACAAATGTTCAACTGAATATTGATGGTGAAAATATTGAATTCGTAGAAAATTTTAAATACCTGGGAGTTTTTGTTGACTCTCGATTAATTTTTGATATTCATTATGAAAAAGTTATAAATAAGATGAGTAGTAAAGTGGGATATTTATCGAGAATTTCTGGATGTCTGAGTTCATATAGCAGAAAAATTATCTATAATACCATCATTCTTCCAAATTTCTTGTACTGTTCGACTATTCTGTATTTAGCAAATAATTCCATTTTTGAAAGACTGCAAATTTTACAAAATAAGTGCATGAGAATAATACTAAATAAAGATAAATATACTCCAATTAGGCAAATGCTTAGCAAATTAAAATGGCTCAATGTAAAAAATTTTATCAAATATCTTGTAATGATATTCATTTATAGAGTAAAAAATAATATATTTCCATCAAGTCTAACTAATTTAACATCATCAAATGTCGACCATCATTTACATAATACCAGAAATAAAGATGACTTCCATTTAATGACCAAAAAGTATAACATATGCTACAAATCTGTATTCCATCAAGGGTTGATTGAATATAATAAATTATACTCGGAGATAAAAGACCAGAAAACTTTGACAAAATTTAAAGTAAAATTGAGAAATCACTTGTTAAATCTACAATTATAGGTTGCCCAGCATTTACATCATACACCATATGGCTTGAATTTACTAGTTCTAAGTTGTTTACAATTGTTCTGTTTATGTAGCCAAATGTGCTAAATAAATCTTTCTACTACTACTACTACTACTACTACTACTAAACTGACACACATCTTGATATCTTTACTTAATTTATCAAATTCGTACAATCCCTTTTGAAATACTGACTTGCTCGTTATATTGCTACTGCAGTTTTGTAAATGAAAGTCTATACTTCCTCTAGTAGAATAATTGTGGCACTCATTGTTCAATACAATAAAATTTTCCAAGTGATTTGGTAGAAGATGATTTTTCAACTTGAATATGAAAATGAAAACCAAGTAGGCTATGAAATTTTTAATATTTAACCATTGTAGTTCTTTCAGAATAAAATTTATTCTAGTATATTTATATACTATACAGGGTTATCCAAATTAAGTGTCCACCATTAGTAACTTTGTTATTAGTGAAAATACAAAGTTGTCTGAATTAGCAAACTAGTAGCATTTTTAACGCTGGTAAAAATGAGAAATAAAAAAAAACAATTGAGAGTCATTATTTTGATTTTTTTCAGTAAAATAACATTTTTTTAAATGGAAACCCCTGTATATTATATTTTTTTCTGTTAAAGCATCAAATTTTAAACAAAAAAGCTTACAATAACTTTTCTCCTAGGTTACAAATTGTTGAAGTTATGGCCTCCAATCTGAAACAATTAAATTGTATCGACAAACTTGATTTTCAACATCAACTTATAATCTTACAAAATACAATAAAAATTTTTTTAAAAGAAGATGCTCGAAAACACCACCTTGTTCTTCAATACATTTTTGGGCATGTTTTTCAACTGCTCGAACTGTCTTAAGTATGGTCCTACCATCTATCTGGGTTATCTTTTCCCTAACTGCAGTCTTTAACGCGTCAAGGTTATCGTACCTTCGCTTGTAAATTTGGTTCTTTAAGTAACCCCACAAGAAGTAATCAAGTGGGTTTAGATCTGGTGATCTGGGAGGCCACTGTATTGGGCCATTTGTTCCTATCCACTGATCATTAAAAGTAGTACTTAGAAAATGATAAGTACCTCTGGAGTTGTGGGCAGGTGCGCCATCTTGCTGAAAATGCAGATGATGTCTACTTATAAGATCCAATTCGTCTAAGAAATTAGTCAGAATTTCTGACATAAATTCCACATATCTTTCACCAGTTAGGGTTCCCTCATAAAAGAACGGGCCAACAATTTTTGAACCAATTATACCGCACCAAACGTTGAAACTGAAACGGACTTGTGGGCCTCTTGGATGTACTAACAGAAGATTTTCTCTTAACCAATAATGGTGGTTTTTTCTATTAAACATTCCAGAATTTGAAAAATTTGATTCATCTGTCCATAAAAGGTATTTACATTTTGGCGACAGAAGCTAAGATACCAATGGCAAAAAACAAGTCTTCTCTCTGGATCCCCTGCCAAAAGCGTTTGAACTGGTCGGTACTTATACGGAATAAATTTGTATTTTTTTAAAATCCTTTGAACAGTACCATAACTGAAATTAGAGTCTTTGAGAATATCTGCTATTGAATTCTCACGATAAGCTTCAAAATATCCAATAACTGCAATTTCCGTGGCCTCGCTTATTATGAATTCTTTTTTTGCCCTTGTTTTAGCAAAAACATTTTCGTTGCCCCTAAATTTTCGATAAAGTCTCAGAAAATATCGTTCATACGGTTGAATGCGAGCGGGATATAATTCACTGTAGTATTCTCTTGCTCTCAAGGAGGATTTTCTGCACACTAAATAGCATTCTAACATATCACACTTTTCTTCATGGGAGAACATTTTTCTTTAAATTAATGACACAATAAAGCTTATAAACAAGTATTTACACTAATGTTTGACATTATTTGATTTTATCATTGTTTTCCAAAGCCTTCTAGTTGCGAGTATGTCCAGTTTAACAATTTGTCGCTTATCTTAATGCTGTCAAATCGCGAACGCCATGTTGTTTTCATAGCCGTCTTAATATTATAATACTGCAAATAATTAAAAATATTTATCGTTATTTTGACTTTATTTTTGACTTTAGCGGAAAAGTCATTATAAACTTTTTTGTTTAAAATTTGATGCTTTAACAGAAAAAAATATAATATACAGGAGTTTCCATTTAAAAAAATGTTATTTTACTGAAAAAAATCAAAATAACGACTCTCAATTGTTTTTTTTTTATTTCTCATTTTTACCAGCGTTAAAAATGCTACTAGTTTGCTAATTCAAACAACTTTGTATTTTCACTAATAACAAAGTTACTAATGGTGGACACTTAATTTGGATAACCCTGTATACAATATAACAAATGAGGAAGAATGATAGTGTTGTACACAATTTTTTTAGAATAAACGCTTAGGCTATGCGGAATTCTATAAAAGTAATCAATTTTCGTGGATATTTTCGAAATATGATATTCATAGTGCCCTTCAAATTTTAATTTACTGTTTATGTATATGCCTGAATATTTAAATGGTTCAATTGACACAATTTTTTCATGACTAATTGTGAGATTTATCGTATTTTGATCTAAAGTTTTTCCTATTAGCATATAAAATAACTTCTAGCACTATGCCGTCACTTGAGAGCGGTACATGTAAGTACAGGGGAAAATTGAATTTTCTGTCCAGAAGAGGTCGGAAAAGTTTAAATGATTTTTTACGGCTTTCTTTAGTATCACAGATGCCAACAAAATTTTAAATGTAAAAAATTACAGAAAGGTAACTATAACAATGCCGTACGTTAATTAATTAATTTTTCCGCATAGATAATTTCCTGAAAACTAAAAATTTTTTATGGCTTTCGGCACCATTATTTCCGTACGGTACTAAGTGCATCGTGATTATTTTGTTGGCATCTGTGATACTAAAGAAATGCGTAAAAAATCATTTAGTCTTTCCCGACCCCTTCTGGACAGAAAATTCAATTTTCCCATGTACTTACATGTACCGCTCTCAAGTGACGGCATAGTGCTAGAAGTTACTTTTTCATGTAGTACTATCGTTCTGAGTACGTTTCCTGCTGTATCACATGACCCCTCCATTTTTGCCCACAGCACCCGGTCTAAAACAAACAGTATGTGACAAACACATTTTTTGACATGTTCATAACCTGTGCTCTCTCTCACTCTAATTCGACGGTCGTCTAGCACCATTTGGTGAGCTTTGGCATTTTTTTCGTCAGTAGTTGCGGTTTTTGGACGTCCCGAACATTCATCGTCTCCCAAGCTCTTACGGCCACGTTTAAATTCGTCTACTGTGGTAAACGATGGTGCAGAGTCCCCATACCCAGAATCTAACTCGTCTTTGATTTGCGTAGACGTATTTTCAAAAACAAATATTTAGTGTCAGCTCGATACTAGATTTTGTCCATTTTCACAAAAACACTCATATAAACTCACTGAAAGGACTGTTACATAACAACTGCGCATCCGAAATAGCTGAAACTTTGGTGAGTAACTGTCAACAGATGAACAACGAAAGTCACTAGCTTTTATTAACGAGTGCTGCCATCTTCACGTTGAGGTCGGAAACTATTCAGATCACCCTCGTGTATAGAGCAGGATATACATACACTATATCCCATAAGTATCTTCACAAACATCTAACTTGGATAACACAAATATTAGGATACTATATTGCTTAGTCATATCTACAAAAAACACAAAACACAGCAGTAGATTGACCCATTACATGACCAGGGAGTATTTCTCTAGTATTTGCTAAACTTGTTCAGTTCTTGAGCGTGGTGATATTCTTTGTCTTCTACAAATCACCGTGCACCATTATATAGCTCCAAAAAGTGAAATCATTGCAATTGATACTAAACTTTTACGTTTCAAGACGCCGACGATCAACCAGTGGAATAAGAACAATATTTATCTGTTGTTTCAGAGCAGTGGCACCAAATTGAGCTGACTGATACTCCACTCCAGTATGCCGCACTGATAGAAGACTTAAAACCAGCTACAAAGTAAGTGAGAAAGAATTTTAAGCAGTTCTACAATCCTTTAAATAATAATGCAACCAGATAGGTTGCATAAATTTTTTGACATTAAAACAGATAGCGCAATTAACTAACAGTAAACTCCAGGAGGCATGTGTAAGAAGTGCGGATATACAGGGTGTCCGCAAAGTTGGGGTTTTCCTTTACACGACGTGTAGATCTTGAAAACATAAGCAATTTTTCTTAGTACCATATACACCAATGTCTTAAGGGAACCGAGATAAAGGGCTCTGCAACATCAAAAATATCTGAATACCGTCCTGTAGCCGCGACATCCCCGAGTGGTACTAGGACACTAGCTCAACCCGACGACAGAACTGGGTCGGGGTCAGTGTGACAGGTCAGTATGCAACCTTCAACCGACGGTTACGGTCACGCGTGTAGAGGTAATCGCGTAGACGAGAATCCCTCAACAAACACTAGAGACGTGGCTAGAGAAGTGCAAGTATCAAAAACTAAAGTGTGGCAAACGCTGCGTGAAGAGGGGCTGTATCCGTTTCACGTCCAACGTGTACAAGCCCCTCAACCTGACGATTTTCCAGCAAGAGTGCGGTTTTGTGAGTGGTTGTTGCATCAACATGACAATAACCCGGACTTTTTGAAGTGCATATTGGTGACAGACGAATCTACGTTCACGCGTAATGGGGTTAATAACTTTCGCAACACTCATGTTTGGTCAGTAGAAAATCCGCACGCTGTCCGTCGGGCACATTTTCAACAAACATTTTCGGTGAATGTTTGGGCTGGCATGGTGAACGGTATGCTCATTGCCCAAGTCGATTGGACGGGATGCAATACCTAGACTTTTTACGCAACATTTTGCCTTCCTTGTTTGCCTGCGTCTGCTCGGTAGCGGTATGATTTCGGGCAGAGACGTACTTAGCCCTTCTCGTCAACTGGAGAGTGAGTACTTTTTCCTTTATTTTTTTTTTACTTGGTCACCCTCGTTTCACTACACATTACCTTTGTTATTTCAAGGGTAGTTGTTTCTGAAAAGGAAAACCCCAACTTTGCGGACACCCTGTATTGTGCATATTCGCATCCAGAACGCCAAATAATTTCAGCATTGCACTGCTCTGGTGAAGCCTTGTTGCTATATTTTATAGTGACTGGGTAAAACTTCAAAGATGATCAGATGTTAATTATAATTCAAATCATTTGGTTATGTGATAGAGGTTTATTTGAAATTCCTCTTTTTATACAGATACGTATTTCGAGTGTCAGCAGAAGGTGCGGCTGGACGTAGCGCAGCCAGTGACGAGTTGATTGTCAGGACAGAACCTCAAAGGCCTGCTGGACCTCCTCTGCAGGTTTCCGCTAGGGCGATATCCAGTACGGAGGTACTGGTCACGTGGATGCCTCCGGTACCAGAACTGAGAAATGGAGAAATACAGGTAAGAAAATTACAGCGAATAAAAGGACAAACCCTCTTTTAATTTGTCATGAATCGGTACATACAACTTTTATATAGAAATTTTTTTATTACAAATCTGTCAAATTGGCATGCGTTTGTATTTTGCCCAACTCAGCCCGGTTTTTCTGGAAATATTTTTCCTGCACTATGTTCATCGTTATGTTGTGTTTGCTATCGCAAATAAACATGGCGATGACGATGTTCCGCAGACAATCCGCTGTGGATACTAAAAACGTCAGATGCATCTCTTTACAGGCTATGCTACTCGTATACTGGAAATGACCAATTTAAGACGTTTTAAGTGCATACTGAGTGTGATCCTTGTCAAAGCAATACAAATATGTCTACTACGACAGTGATTACCTGCTTTGAAAACTAACTTTTACAGAGCATGGAAACTACCGAATTAATATTTATAAATGTATTTTTTCAACAGGGCTTCAACGTAGGTTACCGCACTGCCTCCCAAATCGCCTACAATTTCACCTCCGTAACTGGTGATGGGGAAGATGGCGGTGAAGCTTTGCTGTCTGGTCTCGCCAAGTACACCAGATATACGATCGTTGTGCAAGCGTTCAATGAAGTTGGAGCTGGTCCACTGTCAGACAGCGTCAATGTCCAAACAATGGAAGACGGTACGTTTCATCTACCCCGTTGTTAGTATCCTGATCTTTTATGGCTTTTATTTATGACAATATAACAGATTTGATAAGTATCGTAGTACGTCCTAAGATCGAGTTTTTCTTGTCGAAGAGTTTGACACACATTAATGATAAATTAATGAGTTCGTATCATTATATATGTTACTACACATTAAATAATAGGTGAGTATGTGTCATCGTAAATGAAAAAAAAAATAATGTGACGCCATGAACGCCGTCTCTTGGCCACAGCAAGAACCATCACGTTACCTCGATCGCCAGAAAGAGTTACTGCCAGCGCCATCTATAGCCTACCACTGGAGCTACAGAGTCTAGAATCGCGAGAAGAAGCTTCGATTACTCGTGAACTTTGTGGAACAGATCGAGTACAGGCGATACATGTACTTATAAAAAGGAGACAATTGAGGAAAGACGGTCAATCAGTGAAGAATAGTAAAAAAGTAATAATAAATCAGTTTGTTTATTGATTACGTGTTTGCTTTACAATACGTATATTTTCATTAATAAAAATTGGCTGATTTACTAATTACTAACGAATTTAGTCAGACATCTGCTGGAGAGGCAAAGGTTCGCCCTTAATATCTGAGTATCTTATAGGTTTCTTGTAGTTCTCCGGTGGAGGCGAGGTGTTCAGTTAGCCTCTCATTTTTAACTGTGTGGAAGTTATCCATAAGAAAATCAAACTTGACATATTTTTCAGTTCCCAGCATGCCACCACAAGATGTGAGATGTGCTGCGCTTACATCTCAGTCTCTTCAAGTTAGCTGGCAACCGCCATCAACAGATCACTCGAATGGTATTGTTCAAGGATATAAGCTTACATATGAGCCTGTTGTGGATGACAACTGGAGAGGTGAGTATCTTTTTTTTAATCTACGCAAATGATTATTTGCTCAAGACACATGCAACTATTCAAATTTAAAGTGAAAATGTTTAGATTGAATACCGGAATATTTTATGGCAAAGAGACTTGGACAGAGTTGAAAGATGTGGCACAAAACGAAAATGCTGGCTTGATAGTAAGTTGTTAAAAATAAATTTTGAAAAAATAACATTGTTCCTTTCACCTCATACATTAAAAATATGCCATCTTATGAATAATTACAAATAAAACACAGTAAAAATGATATATTCACCATAAATAAAACAAATAATGTAAAGTATCTAGGGATTTACATAGATGTACACCTTAGATGGGATGAGTACATAATATATGTAGCAAAAAAATTATGTATAAAATTATCAAAAATGTACTGGAGCATTGTCAATTGAAAATATTATATTATGCGTTGGTAGAACCCCACTTGAGCTATGGCAAATAGCGTGGGGAGGTAGCTAACACAGCTCACATATTCAAAACACAAAAAAGTGTTTTCAAAGTTGTATCACATAAAACTGGAATGTATCCAAGTGACCAGTTGTATGAGGAAAGTGGCATTTTAGATATAAGACAATTATTCCTATTCCAAATGTTTTGACTGTGCAACACGAAGCTTGTCCCTCAATCGAGGATCCGTTGCATATTTACAATACCAGGAGTAAGAATCATATGAAGAAACCCAAACCAACCAAACCGTATCTTTATTTAGACGCTCGATGTGACAATCTCCTTCCACAAGATCTGAAACTCATTTACTCCAAATACTCATTTAGAAGAAAAGTGGAATACTATACCTAGAAAGAGAGCTCATGTAATTGTCGATATAAAAAAGTCGCTATTAATATGAAACGCCAACCTACTAACATACTAAATTGGACTTTTGACGATTTATTTATATGATGCTAATAATCCCAAATTTACCAACATACCTGAGAATGCCATATCAAACGAATATGACAAATAATCCCGAATATATACTCAATATGGAATAATAAATAAAAAACAATTTATGATCAACAGAAATTGTTTCTACTCTTAATATGTCAGATAATACACTCTTTGAAATTTCATGTAATATCTCAACTTAAATATTTCTTCTTACAAATTATTTTTTATACAGTTGGTCATACCCCCGCACAAGGCCAGCCTTCTGCGGGTTTTTCTCTCACGTTTATTGGTCTAAATATTTTCTTTATGATAATTTATTTGTATTGTAGACAATAAACGTTATTATTCACATGTTCATGAAAAAGTTTGACCCAGGAGTTATGATTGCAATAAATATTGTTGAAATTGGACTCATCTTGAAAGTTGGACAGGATTTCTGGATACGGGATACCAATTGATATGATTTTGGCTCCAAGGTGAAATCAACGTTTCAAGCGTACTTCAAAGCCGAATCATCTGCGAAACTCTGACTTGATGAGGATATAGTGGTCGTTGATGGATGACAGAAGGGATCTGTAATGCTCTGATGTGACAATTCTGCTTATTAACAAAACCGTTCATATCGAATGAGCTTCATCGCTCATTATCAGTTGTCGGTAAAAATCGTTACTTTGGGTATTAAGCTGCAATATTGAATGACTGTTTGTCGGCGACTTTCATGGTCACTAGGAGTTAACTGAATTTGTTATAGCCGCAAATGCAAGTCTTTTTTTAAAACAGTACATATTGACGTGCGACGAATACCCAGTTCTTGAGAACGATGTCTGGTAGACGCGTTGTGGGATCGTGCAGCGCTCCAAGATGGATTGGACACGTGCTTTAAACAACTACTACTGGGCCACCTACTGAAATGCGTGCATCAAAAATGGCGCGCAATTTAAATAAGGCAGTTATACGAGTATATTGGCCACCCTGTATAATCTGGCGTAGACTCGCATGCCAGCCCTGTATATGCTAGCTTCAGAGTTAATTTTCCTTAGAGCAACCTTTATGACTGAACTACATGATTAGTTTCAACAGTAGCGATTAAGTAGTTTTGTTTGACCCAAACTTTGTACGTTTCCGTGGTAGACAGACATCAAGATGCTTCATGAATCCCTTGCCCCCTCATCCCTTTTACTGCCCTTTTACGGCCGGACGTCCAATGTTTGCTGGGTCATTTAAACATGAGTGACGATGGCTGGTGTGTTACAGGGAACGACGAGATGGAAACTAGGAAGACCACTGCGCTAACGACCGTCATCACTGGATTGAGAAAATTCACAAATTACAGTCTGCAAGTTCTCGCTTTTACCAAGGTGGGAGATGGAGTGTTTACCCCGGTTGTATTTTGTCAGACTGAAGAGGACGGTGAGTACTTGATGGAATATGAATAATTATAAGTAACTTATATACAGTTTGCTATTTGTGACACTCCTACATTTTGGGAAAAATGCTCAGACAAGTCAAGTACAATACAGGGTGATCCAAAAATAAGATATTACACTTTGGATTTTTAATTGAAAATCCTCTTTTTAATTTTTAGATTCTCCATGAAGTTTCTGATAACTTTTGTATAATAAGGTTTATACCTATATTCAATCGTTGTGAAGCTATTCGAGTTTATAATAAAATTCTAGAAATTGTGATAATAAGGGAAAGGATTCATGTTCCTCGTAAAAATAATAATCAATATATTTCCCAGAGTAACAAGACTTTAAAATTCAAAAAAAAAGACTCGAAGTATTAAAAAAACAAAAGACAGCTTACAGTTTACACGCACATTAAAGTGATTAATTTGCTATACAGATTTAGGTCAATGTGGTAATAAGTGCAGAAAGTGGTGTCCATGTACCTCCATGCAATAATAAAGATTTTGTTTGGATCTATTCCTCACATTTTCAAGCATGTCTTGAGTTATTTATGTACATTCAGCCGTAATCCATAATCCTGAATGGTATCTGACTTCGTACTAAAAACTTCACTGTTAAAATGCCCCCAAAGAAAGTAATCCAAAGGATTTAGGTTCGGAGATCTCGGCGGCTACTCGATGGGGCCTCGTCTAACGATCAACTGATTCGGGACATGAGTGTCCAAAATATGTTGTACTGGAGCCGCATAGTGCGGCGGTGCCCCATCTTGTTGGAATTGAATGTAATTTTCATTATACTTAACATCATTTTTTATCATTTCGGTAATTCGTCGCTGTATTTTCTAACATGTCCATGTACGTCTCGCCCGTCAAGTTTCCACTAATGAAGAAAGGTCCTGCAATATGCCCACACAAGTATTTTGGTAGGATATTGCGAGTATACCGCTCTAAGCAAATGTGGATTCGAGTCACTCCAATATCGACAATTATTTATCTATTTACAGCACCATATAAATGGAATGTAGACTCATCCGAGAAACAAATATTAAATAACAGATTTGCATTGTTGATTAAACGTTGGGACTTTAATTCGTAAGACTACAACCTTCTATCAAAATCATCTTCATTAAGCTTATGGGCATGTTTTATCTTGTACGGGGGAAATTTATTGTCTTTCAAAATCCTGTGTACTTTAATTTGAGCGTGTAAATCCTGAAGAAGTAGCCAGTCTACGAATGGTCTGGGTATTGTCAAGTGCTACGTGACCCAGATCCAGTTTCTTCAAATTGTCTTCTCTACTTAGCCACATACTTATCGTTCATATTTTTGTCTGAATGTAACGGATTAATCAACCGGGCAGTAGCTCTTGCAATGCTCTGTATTAAATTGGATCAATTGTTCACTGAGAAGCAGTTCTTTTCCTGAAAATTTGAAATGCTCTACAATAACACCAGTTCCTAAAATAAAAAATTCTAAAAGATGCAGCGATATGAGACCAGTAAATGTGTTACCAGACATTGAAAAATTATTAGAGTCCATAGTGCATGACCAATTAATGCAGTTTATAGAAGAAAACAAAATTTTAGTGGAGGCGCAAGAAGGCTTTCGAAAAAAATATTCCACAGAAACAGCTTTACAGTTGGTAACTGAGAATTGGAGAAGAGCCATAGACTCAGAAGAAGTCGTCATAACAGTATTTTTGGATTTGAAGAGGGCATTTGAAACGATTGATAGAGATATTTTATTAGGTAAATTGAAGGCATATGGTATGACAGGAAGTGTTTTAGATTGGTTTAGAAATTATTTGTCTAAAAGGATGCAAGTTACAAGAGTTAATGACACTATTTCATCAAACATTGAAAATACATTGGGTGTTCCACAGGGCAGTATCCTGGGACCACTTCTTTTTATTTTATACATAAATGATTTACCTGCCATAGTCAGAAAAGGCAAAATTCAGATTTTCGCCGATGACACTATCATTTATATAAGTACTAAAAATATTCAGTCTGGTATCTCTTATATAAATGAAGACTTGAAGCTTGTCTCAAAATGGTTAGCATCTAACAGACTAAAATTAAATGCAAGTAAAACGAAATTCTTGTTAATTGGAAAAAACAATGTACAAATGTTCAACTGAATATTGATGGTGAAGATACGGAATTCGTAGAAAATTTTAAATACCTGGTGGTTTTTGTTGACTCTCGATTAATTTTTGATATTCATTATGAAAAAGTTATAAATAAGATTAGTAGTAAAGTGGGATATTTATCAAGAGTTTCTGGATGTCTGAGTTCATATAGCAGAAAAATTATCTATAATACCATCATTCTTCCAAATTTCTTGTACTGACTATTCTATATTTAGCAAATAATTCCATTTTTGGAAGACTGCAAATTTTACAAAATAAGTGCATAAGAATAATACTAAATAAAGATAAATATACTCCAATTAGGCACATGCTTAGCAAATTAAAATGGCTCAATATAAAAAATTTTATCAAATATCTTGTAATGATATTCATTTATAAAGTAAAAAATAATAATTTCCATCAAGTCTAACTAATTTAACATCATCAAATGTCGACCATCATTTACATAATACCAGAAATAAAGATGACTTCCATTTAATGACCAAAAAGTATAACATATGCTACAAATCTGTATTCCATCAAGGGTTGATTGAATATAATAAATTATACTCGGAGATAAAAGACCAGAAAACTTTGACAAAATTTAAAGTAAAATTGAGAAAGCACTTGTTAAATCTACAATTATAGGTTGCCCAGCATTTACATCATACACCATATGGCTTGAATTTACTAGGTCTAAGTTGCTTACAATTATTCTGTTTATGTAGCCAAATGTGCTAAATAAATCTTTCTACTACTACTACTCTCATTTTGGGAATACAGTTTTGTCATTTCTACCCTTTCTCGAATTGAATAAATCATTGTTCAATATTTATCACAACTCGGTAGGTAACTTTTCAATTTGAAATGAACGACCAATTTTTTCTATGACATACGATGGCACTGAGTGATGCTAGATGTTCTTGTTGGTATCCATGATTATAGTTTTTTGCAGTGCATTCCAATAAAATGTTCCCTATTCTCCGCGCTTTTAACGTCGCACTTTTGGCATCTATATAACATGTCAATAATGTACCGAAAACTTTACACTGTCTTGAATACTATGATTACATGGATAATCAGAAATAATCTTGAAATAGCGTAGGAAAATGCGCAGGTGATGAATAAAAATTCATTTTTCAACGACCTGACCTAGAAATTTTATATTGAGCTTGTCTCATTTCAAGATTCGAATGCTGTTCAAAAGGTCTCTCTTTTAATTATTTTTTGAACGGGTAAAGTAGGTTAGCTGACAGTAGGGGTGATCAAATTGAAAAGCATTGTACGTATAGTTTTTACATTGATAGAACGCATCGGAATTGTGTAAACGTAAGTCAAGAGAGAGGGGCGGCTTCCAGCAATATCATCTGCAAGACAGCTACAAGCCAGCTACAAAATCCTATTAGAAAATAGACGGGGCAGCACCCAAACCAAAACAACTAAACGTAAGGTACAAAATAAAGGGGTACTAGTCCATAAACTGGTTTTTGGGGGACTAATATCCCAGAATCTGAAACGACGCCAACACCACAATATCAGAAGGAAGATGAATGACCGAAACACCTAACTCTATGAAGGAAAGTTAAAGAGTGGCCTTGAAGAAGATATGTTCGATTGGAATACAAATAACGAAGAAAAACCACAGAGTGTTTTGCTGCTTCCCAATGCGTGGACTCTAGAGAATCAACTCTACGAGGGACCAACGATATTTTATGAGGAAATTTCTGAAATAATCGTTAATAAAATACTATAACATTAGCGTCCAAAAATTTCAACACAATATTGGGTCGCTGAGACAGAAAGATATAATACGTGTCAAATTATACAATCAATAAACTAAAAAATTTGCCAAAAGGGTTTGGCCTAGGAATGGACACTTTACCATTAATAGAGAGAAATTCAAATTAGTTACGTGATTTTGGCACGTGATTCGTACTACAAAAACTCCCCTCATTTTTACATGAAAACCAAAGATATGTCTCATATGACGGACTAAAGTTTGGACTTTTCACAGACACGTCCTTGTGGTGCTTCTTGAAAGACCGGCCAAAAACAAATCGAAACACCTTGTCTCGAAGCGCTGCGAAATGTTTCATCGTGTTTCAGGCAAAGCGTTAGCAATGTACATACGAGGACCGCACACTGGTCGAAGCATTGCCTCGTAAGCTTCGACATCACGTCAATTCTCTTTGAGTTACGTTGGGAGACAAAAGGTCTCTAGACAACTAAGGGTTTTATGGTTTTGCTTTCTTGTATTACGCTTATCACCGATGACATGACATGTTCAATACGATTCAGAAAGATTAATTTTCTGATATTGCAATATAAGAACTCGGCGAGAAGAACGTGGTCACTGTTGAATCAAAAGATTGTGTATCGAAAGTTGTTTCGAGCCAGAAAAGTTTCGACCTCTGTGCGGAGGTGCAAACAACCAAAGGAGATTGAAAAATCTTGTTTCGAGATGAAATATTTCTGTCTGCGGTCAGCCTAATGATAACATCCACGGACTTTCAGATAGTTCAATTTACCCTAACATTGTGGGGATTCCTCTAGTACAAATTCCATTCCAAAAATCCTTAAATAATTAATGATCTAAGGCAAAACATTTTTCAAGTTACTCGTCACTGTGAGGTCTGAGCCAGAAGGTTACTGAACATTTCAAAGAAAGGTCACCTGTAGAAACAACTGGGACGTGCATATGAAGAATTTTGTCTATAAAGCACAGCTCACACATATTTACTTCCTGATAAAATAAACAAGGGTTATGTCTTTATAACATTTTTTGTCTTATTCAACAACAAATTCTAGAAATACTTATTTTGACTCTGGCTATTACCTATTAATTACTTGTCAATTTGTTCAGTCCCTGGTCCACCAGCCGACATCAAAGCCGTCGCCTCCGGCTCTCAGTCCTTGAAAGTATCCTGGCTGCCTCCTGTGGAACCCAACGGCATCATCACCAAGTACACTCTGTACAGACGTGGCCTAGATGGTCATCAAGAGGTGGACGGTGGAAAGCAAACTGTTAGCGGGGCCCATACGACGGCAGAAGTTGGAACTGTTCGACCACATCAGGAGTATCAATTCTGGGTGACCGCTTCTACCAGGATTGGGGAAGGGCAAAGTAGCAAAGTGGTTACGCAGCAGGCCAAGCAAAGGAGTAAGTATTTTTTTCCGGATTTTATGTGTCAGGCTAACTGATAAAAAAAGTGGCAGGTCATCCAAAGCTTGTCCTGTGGTTTTTATGCAGTATTAGAAGTCGAAGATTGCATATCAACCTGTATGGGTGTATTTTCGCGTTCTCTGGGGACGTGGAACGGAGGTGACACATCCAAAACAACGGATAACCTTGTGGTCGCTTGTCGGTTTGAAAGCTTGACATTTTTTGGCAACCGGAATTTCTACCCTGAGACGTCCTGGGCTTTGCTGGCTTTTCGCGGTGCCATTTTAAAATTATGGCGTGCTCGAACTGTTGTTGCCACACTGTATAGTAGCGACATAGGCTAATAAACAGTTATCTAGAAGATAAATGAGTATAAAATAAATTGTCGTCGTCATTTTGATTTGTAGTGGTACTATTCGCCGTTATATGTCAGAGCGATCCGCACGGGTATTATGTAAAAAAAACCTATAAAACTTCAAAAAAGAACCTATAAAACGTCAAAGATACCTATAAAATGTCATTTTGCGGACTAGGTAGTTTTTAGGGTGCAAACATTCCACATTTGCTCACTAGGATCGTCGTGAGCGTCCATCTATGGAGGAATGACTCAACTACACGCCTTTTTGGTTGCATATGTTTTGTGAAGCCGAGTAGTCTGTAGTCTTTCATCTCTGAGGAGTGAAACATAGAAAGTTGGTTGAATAGCAAGATTGCATCTGGATGATTTTGTTTATTGGTCTACAAGTGTATAAAATCAGTGACATTTGCTGTGTGAGAAAATTATTACTGAAATATGCTGCTAATGAGGTATATCTATTGGCTGTGGGTTATATATATGTTGTCGTTTCTGAACACAGGTTATGTTCAAAGTTAGGTATAAATTACCGGTTGTTTCGTTTTTTTGTGTTTTCAAAAACATTCAGCCACATCACAGAAAAATTAGTAATGACGCATCACTCATCGAACATTTTCGCAATGCCTAACATCTGAGCGCTGTTTTGTATTTTCTATTGTCATTGCAAAATTCATTTTTATAAAATTTAAATGACTGGAAATAAAATATAATGTAATAACCTTGCCACTTTCATAAATATTCCTTTCTGTAGCATATCTCCTCACCTGTTTCTTCATCAACCAGGGATATTCTTTTCTTATCTCTTTCATTTTTGAAATTCAGCAAATTTGCATATGTAGTTCCAGAATGAATAAGAAAAAGTGGATGCGCATTTAATTTCTAGGTTTGAATCTCAACTAAGTGTATTTAAGACAAGAATCCAATGGATTTATCCTCAGCACGTATTAGCACACAAATTCTCATGCACCTATGCATTGCCATTTCCTTCTAGCTATCGTATACAACTTACAGCTTAGTCCTCCAGTAATGCCATCTCTGAAGCAGCTTTCACATCATCACATCAGAACCAAACATTGATAAGTAAGGTATCATGACGTTTAGGCAACACGTACAACAAAACGAGTTCACCACAAGTGTCCATCAGCTAGTGCTAAGTTAACCACTTGTAGAAAAACCTACATAATGTCATAAAAAATTAACACAATGTTAAAAAAAATCGACATGTCACTTTCCAAGATACGTAATACCCGTGCCGGTAGACCTTTGCTCTTATAGTTGAAAGTCTTGATCTGTTAGTCTGTCGGGTCTGGTCCCCCAGAAAAGTTCAGTGTGATCTATACTTTGAAAGGAGCCACCGTGGTAGCCGGAATGTCAGTAAAGAGTAATTGCCCATATATTATTCGGTTTCATTTAGTGGCCAGAAAATATGGGGTAGATTTTTACATTACATTGATACATGTGCCTTTAGAATTTAAATATAACACATGAAAGTAAATAAAGTCTGCTGGTTATTTAAAGTATTCTAATATTCTTATTCTTTTAGTTCCTGCCAGAATAATTTCATTTGGAGGTTTAATTGTGAGGCCATGGAGAAGCTCAGTAGCATTTAATTGTGAAGCTGTTGGATCGCCACGAAGAGAATGGATGAGAGGGGATCAGGTGCTCAAGGTATGTATATGTCATTGCGTTACTTAGTATGTTAATGCACAATAATTCTGATTGGATAAAAATACCTATTCAAACGGAAAACAAAGCCCCAGTTAGCAAAATTGACTTGACCGACGTAGCCTAATGATATTATCAAATTTCCCCGAAATAATTGTAAAATCTGGTTTTATTGGTGCAAGTTGTTTAAGGGGATATTTAAAACATGGACGCATAGATAGATACCTACACCAATTTTTGTGGGAGAACTTTTTATTTGACAACAAAGAACGAAAAAACGAGTTTTTTGGGATTCAGTCGAACAGGAACTAAAAAACTTTTCATATAAGATTTTTAGGTATTTATTAGACCTACAAAATGAGACCACACTTAAAAAGACTAATAGCAAAAATTTTACGGAAAAACGAGGCAAAATGCAGGTTTTGGCACTTGTTGGCAATGCGACGATAATTTCACGCAGCTACTTGAAATTCTTCAAATCCGTAAGATTCATACTTCCAAATAACAACAAAATTGGAGTAAATTGATCAAATAGTTTTTTGAGAATTTTTAATTGTTTATCTCAAAACACCTGTTTTCCGGCCATCACTACTAGTTTATTGAGTAATATACAGGGTTCGTTCCAAGAGCATTATAGCAAAATACACGTATTTACCTTGCCGATATGAGTCACAAACCATTCCGAAAGATAAATGTTATTTTTATGAAAAACAAACGTTGTGTTTTTTTCTTCTAAACAAATCCAAACATTTCGTATTTGTAATTGAACAAATGCTCTACGGCATTTGAAAAACATACATTACTATACTCATTTTAAAACAAAGCGGATGTGTCTATCACCCTTTGTTGCGAATTACTCACAAATACGAACTGTTTGAATTTGTTTAGAAGAAAAAACGTAACCGATCCCTTTTGGTATAAAAATAACATGTTTCTTCGGGAATGGCTTACGATTCATATCGGCACAATAAACTAGCGTATTTAGCCCTTTGAACTAATTATATTGCTCAATATACTAGTAGTGATGGCCGGAAATCAAGGTGTTTTGGGATAAACAATTAAAAATTCTCAAAAACTACTTGACCAATATACTTCAATTTTGTTGTTGTTATTTAGAAGGATGCGTCCTACGAATTTGAAGAATTTCAAGTAGTTCCGTCAAATCATCGTCGCATTACCAACAAGCGCCAAAACCTGCATTTTGCCTCGTTTTTTGGCCATAATATTTTTGCTATTAGTCGGATCTTTTTACGTGTGGTCTCATTTTGTAGGTCTCATAGATACCTAAAAATTATATTAAGGGTTTTTTCGTTCCTGTCAACACTTTCGATTGAATCAATTTGTTCGTTGTCGAATGGAAAGTTTTCCCACAAAAATTGATATTTTGCATCCCCTCTTGACAAAATGCAGTAATAAAACGAGACTTTACAATTATTTTGCAGAACAGGGGTATTTCCGTCTAATATGATTAGACTAATGAGAAACATAACTCTACTCATACAAGTACATACATCTCTACTGTATTCTCTAGACAGTCATGCTTTTGACCTAGCTTGCAACAATTACATTTCAGGGCGGAGCAAATCACAACCAACAGCTACTGGATACTGGTGAACTTATTCTTTCAAATCTGCAACTCTCTGATGCTGGCAACTATACTTGCCAAGTGGACAATGGACAAGGATCAGATAGGATCACATATGCTCTTGGAGTACAGGTAACGTCTTTATTAAATTTGAATTTTAAATATTTTAATCCACCAAACATTTAACCATATTAATATGGTCGAGTGACATTAATAGAACAATCTTAGCACCTTCCAGTAGTTATGAGTGATCTACGTATTTTTCAGGTACCACCTTCGGCACCACTTTTATACGTAACTAGTGCAACAAGCAGTAGCGTTTTGTTGCATTGGAAACCAGGACATGATGGTGGTGCTCCTATAGGTGGGTTCACGCTAAGCTACAAGAAGGAACATGGCGATATTGATGAGGTGCATCTCAACAGGCATGCAACTAGCTATGAACTGAAGGTACGATTATGTTTTATATATTCTATTTTATTTTTTTTATATACTTTTAATATTGCTATACTCATAGGATAAAACCTATTATATAACTGAAACTATTTGGTGGGTCGAAAATAACAATTACTTACAACAATTTAATAAATGGTGCAGCCTGAAAATTATTTCGAGAACAAATTATTGTATCACTTATATTTTTCAACACGACAATATGAGGCTATAAGACAAGCACCTTATGAGAATAGCAGCTTGTTTTTCCGAATTTTAGCTATTTCATCTAATTTAGCTATCTGTTTGCTTAATTCCCTTGTTTGGAAGATTGAATAAAATAATTGACAGAGACTCGCATTTTAACAAGGATGTTTTGAACCTCTTGCTTCTCACGCCGATCGATGAGGGAGTGTTGTAGCCGTAAAAAATCTCACCTTTGGGATCAAATAACAAACCATAACTAAAAACCTGGAAGTAAAAAACATATGGTCGACCAGGCGATTTGGAGAATATCAATTATACAGGGTGATTCACAAGTCGTGACCAAAAATGAAATATCATACACAGGATCGCATTTTAAGGGGGAAGGGGGTCTTCTATGTAATTTTTTTTTGTTGAAGTTTAAAAATAAAGAACAATTTTTTCAATATATTCAAATCCGTTAACTGGAATGAACCAAAAATTTGGTTTATAGATTTACCTAAGTATCGTTCACATTGTAGTATGTATGTACCATCGATATGCGTATTTGTGGATTTACAAAAAGCGATTGACACAGTTAACCACAATATACTTTTGGAAATCTTAGAAAGAATAGGTATTCGTGGAAAGATGTATACTTTAATGGAAAATTATTCATCAAATCGACCACAATCATTAAAATTATTATAGTAAAGAAATGTTTGTTAAATGTGGTGTACCACAAGGTACAATTTTGGGTCCTCTGCTATTCAATATTTATTTAAACGATATATTCAAAATTAATAGTACCTACTGGTAAAATAGTCAGTTTTGCAGACGGCACTGCTACACTCTATAAAGGAAAGAATTGGAACGACTTAAAAGATGTTATCCAAAATGAGTTTTGCAAAATTATCCAATGGTTTAATAACCGAAAATTAACAATTAACTTCACTAAAACTCATTTTTTACCAATTTTCATCACTATCTAATCATCTCCCAAAATATAACCACCTTCGCTTTAAGGTAAATGATAAAAATCTAAAAATCAATAGAGTTAATGATACAAAATATTTAGGAATTTATCTAGATCCCCCTTGAGACGGGATGTACATATTTCTTACATACTAAAGAAAATTAGATTCGTAGCAAATAAAATAAAATTTCTAACCGGTATATTAACTGAATATTATCTACGAATAATATATCAAGCTTTAGTAGAGCCGCAGATAACATAATATGGGGTGCTGCATGCACGACATCCCATAACGATTTAGATGTGCTTCAAGGAACAATTTTAAAATCAATGTTTGGAAAATCAAAATTATACCCAACTAATGACTTATATAATCATGCACAAGTATATGATACTAAACAACTTTACTTCTTACATACCATCACTCATTGTCACAAAATTATTAGTGAACGCGACATAATTAAACATAGTCACAACACCAGATATAAATTACGCGCAAACAATGTTCCTGAACCAAACAAATCTTTAATGAAACGATGTCACCTGGATTTAGCTCCAAAATTGTACAAACATTTACCAAATAATTTAAAACAATTACGCAATACACTAGGTTTCAAAAAAAAATAAAAAATGTATTAACACGATTGGGAGAAATAACATTAATAGAATAATCTCAAATATTACACAATAAATGCTCTATAATTCTCACCAATAATTTTTTTCTCTCTTTTTTTTATCTTTTGCAATTCAACGTACATATGATCCATGCACAGGCGTTGTCCTCCTATGGATATAATATATTTATTTACTCGTTTCATGTTCCCTGTATTTTAGAGTAAATAAATATTATTATTATTATTATTATTTCAAAAGTCTTTACTTAAAATTAACGTGCACCATTGGTGGAGATACAGGGGCTTAGTGGCATTATTTTTATAGTACACCACTGTTTTTTTTTACTTTAGAGCATATAAAGTCCGGGAACTGAAGTGCAGAACTTGTTGTGTGAAAACCTACTCATTAAGTATTTACCGATGCGCAAATCACGTATCTCTGTGAATTTTAAATTTTTACTATATGTAACCTTCTGGACGATTTTTTTTGGACTCTTTGGAATAAACTAATAGAAATCCTAAAATTTGTTAATTTACGCGAAATTTTCTGCATTTTACCTTCAATTTGCTACAAATGCCCTCGAGCAAAAAATGTCACAGAGAAGACCCCCTTTCCCCTTAAAATGCGGTCCTGTGTATGACGTTTCATTTTTGGTCACGACTTGTGAATCACCCCGTATAATTGATATTCTCCAAATCGCCTGGTCGACCATATGCTTTTTACTTCCAGGTTTTTACTTATGGTTCGTTATTTGATCCCAAAGGTGAGATTTTTTACGACTGCAACACTTCCTCATCGATCTGCGTTAGAAGCAAGAGGTTAAAAACATCCTTGTTAAACTGTGAGGCTCTGTCAATTATTTTATTCAATCTTCCAATTAAGGGAATTAAGCAACCAGATAGCTAAATTAGGTGAAATAGCTAAAATGCAGAAAGACAAGCTGCTATAGAAGACCCCCTTGAAATGCGGTATGATGTTTCATTTTTGGTCACGACTTGTGAATCATCCTGTATATTTGCTTCGGGAATACTTAACCAAATTGGTTCACAATGTACAGAGGAACTGGAAAGACATATACCATTTCAGATCTTTCGGAAAATTTGTTTTTCGATATTCTTTGTATCCTTGATCTGTGGAGGTGATTAAACAAATTTTCGGGATCAAAAATTCCTCGAAGACTAATAATGCTAGAATGTTAGAATATCCCATTAATTAGTGTTAGTTTGCTTTATAAACTATGGTCCAAAAATGTTTCCTTACAAAAACTCGGGGTGTTGAAGCTTTAAGAAAAGACTGGAAATTAATTAATATTTTCACAACCGCTTCAGATATTTCAATGATATTTAGTACGTAGTGAAAGTTAATAAAGTTGCATACTTTCAATGCAAAAATAATTTTTATCTTCAACAGTGGCGTGAGTACGGGTATTGGCTCCGATATTTTTTTAAGAAAAAATGGTACGCCAATGGTTTTTTGCCAAATAAAAATTATTCTGGAATTCCCTGTTCAATTTAAAACAAATGAGCACTCTTGAATTGTTTTCCTTCGATGCGCCATTATTTAGTAAAAAAAAAACGTTCTATTGTCTAACTTGCAAAATTATTATTAATTTAATTGGAAACATTAAACACATAGGGGTAATGAACAACAACAACTGGCGACATAAACATAACGTTAAAACCAACGAAATGATTACAAAAATTGTTGAAAATGACCCCCTTCACTTAGTATGCATGCTTCCGCCCTCCTCCTCATGGAACTGCGCACGCGGTGAAATATCTCTGGAGTGTTTTTTATTCTATCACAAGCTGCAACTATTCTTTCTCTTAATTCCTCTACAGTGTTAATGGGGCTTGTGCACCCTAGTGTCTTACGATAGCCTACAAAAAGAAATCTAAGCTGTTGAGGTCTGGGGACCTTGGTGGCCAATCTTGGTGATCACCGCGGCCAATCCAACGATTTGGATAAACAGTTTGTAAATAATTACGAACCGCTACACTGAAATGCGCTGGTGCACCATCATGCATGTACCGCATATTGTTTCTTATTACTAACGAAACATCATCAAGCAGCAAAGGCTGTTGAAGAAAATTGAGGTAAGTCTGTCCGTCAAGTCGTCCTGGCAAGAAGAATGAGCCAATAAAGTGGTTGCCAATAATTCCTGCCCATACGTTAACCGAAAATTGTGTTGGAAATGGGTTTCGGTTACGGCATAGGGATTTTCTTGTGCCCACAAATGATTATAGTGGAAACTCTGAGTAGCATTTTGAGAAAAATTAGCTTCTTCCGTGAACAGAATCAATGATTCAAATTGCGGATTTTGTGGAATTTTTTGAAGAATCCACTGACAGGTCACACGCTTTGGAAAATCAATGGGAAGTTATGCCTGTACTCTTAAAATATGGTAAGAATATAACAAAAAAACCACTAAAATTCTCCAAACAATTTGATGGCAAATATTTAAGTGTCTAGCGATCTTCCTCAGACTCGTTTCAGGGTGATCTTCGACTTCTTGCAGCACTGCTTCCTCAATTTCAGGTGTTCTCACCCTTAGAGGTCTACCTGCATATGTTCCTTTTCGGACAAAACCAGTTTCAACAAGACGACGATGAATATTAGAAAAGGTTCGACTATCTGGCAAAGCAGGATCGGGATATCTCTGGTTATAAATTCGTCTGGCTTGCTCATCATTACCGTCGGCAAGGAAATATACGTAATGCATTGCCGCCATTTCTGCATTTGAATAATTCACCATTATTAACAAGATTGTAAAAACTAAATAATGAAAAAGATGTCACAGCGACCAGATTTGAATAACAGAGACTTGTCAGATATCAAAAGCCAGTGACATATTTCAGAGCAACTAGAATATTTATTGCTAAATTGCTTTCTCCAATTACTACATTAATTTTCTCGGACAATATAACGGTTTTTATTTTTTTACTCAAAAATGGCGCATCGAAGGAAAGCAACTCAAGGGAGATCATTTTTTTAAATTGAATCGGGAATTCAAAAATATTCTTCATTTGGCAAAAAACTATTGGCGTATCATTTTTTCTTAAAAAATATCGAAGTCAATACCTGTACGCAAGCCTCTGTTAAAGCTAAAAATTATTGTTGCCTTGAAAAATATGCAACTTTATTAACTTCCACTACGTACTAAATATCAGGGAAATATCTGAAGCAGTTCTGAAAATATTAATAAATTTCCATTTTTTTCCTAAAGCTTCAACAACCCGAGCTTTTGTAAGGAAACATTTTTGGACCATAGCTTATGAAGCAAACTAACTTTAATTTTTCATGTAGATTGACACCCTTAAATATTCGCATATCATTAAGGAACACCCTATAACATTCAATTCACTTGATTCCATTTTGCTTTCAGGGATTATCGTGTGGCACTACCTACCACCTGCACCTCACCGCCCAAAACAAAATCGGCGAATCGCCTGCCAGCCATCCTCTTCAGGCTCGAACTCAAGGACATCCTCCAGGCGTACCAACAGCTACTTCATTCCTGGTACCGAACTCAACGTCAGTGACACTACGGCTGCACGCTTGGCCGGACAACGGCTGTCCGATACTGTACTTCGTATTGCAGTATAGGAAGACTACGGACTCGCAATGGACTCTAGGTAAATTGACATTTCCAGTCCAAATTCGTTGTCATCAAGAGATCTCGTTATCCCTCTCAAGCAATGAGAGTCACATTTATAAAAGTTTGTTGGAGACTGGTTGCCGTTTAAGGAATGACCTCTCTTTGGACTTTAAACAAGTAAGGGAGGAATTTTGCATTTCTCAGTGGGCTCTTACAGTTGTCACCACAGGCTGTGATCCATGTCAGAATGATACTATTCGTCATTATTCGTCAGAGCGGTCCGGTAGACCTTTGCTCTTAGTTAAAAGTCTCTTCGGTCTGTTAGTCTGTCAGGTCTGGCTACCCAGATACCAAACATGTTTAGGGAATGTCAGAATGATATGCTTGCTTTCTCGGTTGTGCAGGGTGGACAACTAAGAATGCGAGGTACTGAGTCTGGGAACCTATCCATCGTAGAGACTTACGACAAATAAATATTTTTGAGGATGATCTCATTACAAATGAATATTTGAATATCCTGTCAAGTAACGGATTTCTGTCATATATAAACCGACCTACAAGGTCCATCAGTGGCACATGTATCGATCACTGCTTTGTGAAAGACCTATCCAACAAAATTACTTGTACTCCAATAATCCTAGAAAGCGATATTACTGACCACTTCTTCACTATTTTACTGATATCTTCAAATGAAAAACATTCTAACATACCTACCGTTAGTAACAACCAGGAAAATTACAAATCTTCTGTCGACAATTCGAAACTAATATCAAATGTTAAACAAGAATCCAGGGAACAATTATACTCTATAAATATTATAGACAAAGCAACGGGACTATGGCAATGGTAATATAATACCGATACATAAATCAGAAAAAAAACTGATGTTAATAATTATAGACCAATATCAATAATATCCAGTGTAGCAAAAGTTTTTGAAAAAGTTATTTACTAGAATTACTCGATACCTCACAAAATACAAAATTTTAAGTGAAAATCAATATGGATTTACAGAAGGGATCGAAAATTATCTGTCAATTCGCCCACAATCGGTCCAGATACCAGGATCGTTTAGCAAAGAAATGTATACTAACTGTGGTGTCCCACAAGGAACTATCTTAGGTCCTCTGTTAATCAATATATATTTAAATGAGATTTTCCAAATTAATTGTGTTGGCAAAATAATCAGTTTTGCAGATGATACTGCAATATTATATGAAGGCACTGACTGGTCTGATCTAAAAAATATAATTGAAAATGATTTTATCAAAATTATTCAGTGGTTTAATAGTAGAAAATTAAGCATTAACTATTCACAAATACATTTTTTACCATTGGGATCCTATGCTAGACATCTGCCAAATTACACAAATTTCTCCTTCAACATTAATGATCAAAAAATGCAAATTAATAGATTACCGAACATAAAATACCTTGGAGTGGTCTTGGATCCTAACTTACGTTGACACATCCATGGCAATTATATTTTAAAGAAAGTTAGATTTGTATCCTACAAAATTAAATACCTTACGAATATATTGACAGAAAAATATTTTCGAACATTATACCATGCACTGCTTGAGCCTCATCTCACATATGGTATATTAGCATGGGGAGCTGCATGTTCCTCATATATCTATAATTTAGGTGTTTTTCAAAAAAGCATTCTAATAATAATGTTTAGAAAACCGAAACTTTATCCCACTGACAAATTATACGCAGATGTACGAATGTATATTTCTTACACAGCATCACTCACTACCATAAATTTGTCTACACCGACCAAAAAATTAAACAATCATTACACAAGGTACAAAATTCGTGGCACAGTAGTTCGTCAGCAGCATAAATCTATAATGCAGCGGTCATATCTCTATTTAGCGCCAAAATTTTATGAAATTGTACTTAAAGACTTGAAAGATTTACATTTCGGAAATTGTTTCAAAAAAAAAATAAAAAAGTGGCTACATTCTATATCTAGGGCTGAAATTCATAGACTCATAAATACGAACATCAAGTAAATACATAATCTACGGTGGCTATTTTTTGTCCTTCTTTGTCATTTGCATTCTACAGTTGCAGCTTAAAATTATTGGTCCATGTACAGGCAATGCCTTCTATTGGGCCTGTTTTGATTCTATATTTATTTACTCATGTTGTTTGTTCTCTTTGTACATTGAGTGAAGAAATATTATATTACAATAATAATAGCAAATTCCATGTTGTGTCTTGAGCGAAATAAAATTATAAGCAAAGAGTATAAGGTTTCCGTAGGCGGCAATCGTGTACCATGGACAAATTCTGCCAAGTACCTCGGTGTTCATCCTTGATAAAGGCATGACCAGCCTCGGTAACTATATCCTTTATTATGTAGATCCTCCAAATTGAGTTTGATAAACAAAGTTCGCCTATATAAAATGATTATTAAACCAGCCATTTCTTATGCATGTGCGGCTTAGTGTTTTCTTGCTAAGACACACATGCAAAGTCTTCAAGTAATGCAAAGTAGAAATTTGCGAACAATTTGCAATGCTCCATGGTATGTCTCAAACGAGACACTACACAGAGACCTTGACATTCCTTACTTGAGGGATTATGTCAAGCTTCAGGCGCAGCGGCGTTATAGTCAAGCAGAATCGCACAGCAACCCTCTGTTGCGCGACTCAGTGGACTACACAGTGAAGCAAGCTCGTAAACATTCAAGGCCACGGCTCGCACTGTAATCAAAAATTAGCGCGAACGTTTAGCAAACTTAAAATTACACACTAACAAAACCCAATCAAAATTTGTTTAGTTCACCTCAAAATTAATCCATGTACCAAGTCAAAAAGCCTAAGTCTTTCCTCTTATACTAAACACTTCTGTTTTTCTTTGCTCTTCTCCTTTTTTCTTCTCTTTTCCCTTTCTTCTTTTCCTTGATATTGTGTGGTTTCTGGGCAACCAGAACTGACAGATTCGACTACGTTCATTAGACAGTGACTAATGGGCAAAGGTCGTACGGACCGCCCAGACAAACAAATGACGAATAGAGTATATGGCTGCAAGTTCTCTTTACAAGATTACGCTCCTAGTTACCAAACACTGTTTCGCGGCATATTCTATGTTTTATGGTCGCTGTTTTATACCACGTATAACGTTTTCCATGCGTTTCAGTCTCAAATGCCCTAAAACCCCAACGGAAGACGTCCATCACTGGCTTGACACCCGCATCTCAGTATGTCGTAAAATTGGAGGCACACAACGTTGCTGGTTTCTCAACAGAAGAGTTTTCCTTTATGACTCTAACGAAAGAAGGAGGTAATTCGTTTTGTAGTTTTCGTTTATTCATTTCCATACTGCTCCAGCCAATAAATGAAACCACAGAAAGAGCTGAACGTGATTTCACACTTTGGCAAAGGCTGTTGAGCCAGCCAAGACGTCACAATAGTAACTTTTTCAAAATCTATGGTTTCATCTATTAGCCTGAAAAGATTAAAAAATGTATTTCAACTCACTTTCGGACTTTCAGATGTGCCACCGCCAAATCTGATGCAACAAGAAGACGACACAACTCCTTTCTACTCGGACGTAAAAGTGGTAGTACCTCTGGTAGTGGTTGGTTTTGCCATTATCGTATCAGTAGCGGGAGCAGTCGTTTGTATGAGACATCGTAAGTACATAGCCAATTGCATTTATTTATAAAAACAGGTGAATGATGATTTTCAGGGCAAAGAGAAGGCGACAAGGAAACGATGGATAATCAGCAGAATGCTGAAGCTCAGAGAGAAAGGTACTACGCCACTATTCACAAGGTGGCTTTGCAGGCAGGTGAAAAGATACCAGGTAGGTTTAGCTTTGATTTAGTAACTGCACCACTGTGTTTCTTCGTTACAATCCAAAATCGACTTCATTAAAGTACGGTTATGATACACTACTCATATCACACAATTCCTTGCGAAGACATGATTGTCTTGAAAGGCAACTGACACATCTAGGAAGACGAGACACGTCAAAATATTTGACAAGCGCGATAACTTTTTAACAAAAAACTACTTCGCTCCCTTTCACCCTCGCCCCCCCCCCAGGTTCATTTCCTTAAAAATTTTGAATGCCAAGGGGTATCGAGTAATAAATAGCTTGTTTGAAAGGTCTTTCGATGTCCTTTATTTTGACGTATGATTTTTTTTAAATCGGTCGATTCGATTTCAAGAACATTAGAAAAACCTTTATTTATCTTAGTTTGTTCAGATAGAAAACCAAAAAAAAAAGAAAGTCACTTTTTATTTCAATAAGTGTTCAAAATGTTGCCCTTTATTGGCCAAACAATGATATAGGCGATGTCCAAATTCCTGACGGACATTTTCAAAAACATTTTGTGGTATATCATGGCAGCTTTCGATGATGAAACTTCCATGTTGGGGAGCAAACACAATAGATTTCAAATGACCCATTGAAAAAAGTCTAATGGCGTCAAATCAGGAAATCTAGAAGGCCATTCTATAGGCCCTCCTCGCCCTATCCATTTATCTGGAAACTCGTCGTCTAGACATTGCCGAACCGGAAGAGGAGGAACGCCATCTTTATGGAAATATATTTCAGCCTCGTCAAATATAGGGCTTCCATCCTATTCGATTTGGTTTTTGTAACAGGATCTTCATCCGAGACTCCCGGACCTCTCAATGTCGTGCCTTGAATAAATAGTTCGGATCTCCAGTCCGATACTTCAATTTCTGGACTGGTCCGAGACCCCTCGAATTTCAAATTCTGTTACCTTTTACTTGTCTTCCTATAGGAGGTAGACTCGCGTAGAACCTGACATAAAGTAATATAATCTTGACTCATTGAAACACTCACTTTACGAGGAATGATGCTTCATCTGTTCTCCAAGTAATCAGAGAATGTGCTAAACGCCCGAATGAATACTTTCGGAACCCTCGAACTCAGTTAGCTTCAGTTAATGAAATTAATGGAACTCTAGTTAAAGGAGGCTCATTTTTATTAATAATTGAATTACAGATTCAAAACATCTATACACTCGTGAAGAGTGAAGTAGCAATGACAAAGAACAGTTAACTTCGTAAAACTAATAGGCTGGGAAAAGATCACTGGAGGAGTGAATTACGACTAAAAGGAACGGTGACAACTAAATTAAAATAAATTTAAGTTTGAACCTAATAGCAAAATTAAACGCTAGAATCTCAACTTTACAATGCTAATTAATCAAGCTAATGCATAGAATCCTTAGTTGACTCGGTGTTAGCTTTAGCCAGAAGGGCTAATAAAGAAGGGAAAAGCCCCCTTTTAAGTAACTGGAAGTGCTTACAGATGAGAACACAACTTGACACAAATTCTACCAATGCAACACTTATTAACAGCCACTAACTGAGGGAAAATTGAAGCAACTTTTTCAACCGTACAAATCAAAGATAAGAGAAGAACTGAAGTTTTTAGTTTCAAAATTATCGGAGGTCAGTTGCGGATTTTCCCCTCCATCAGAAGGCTGGTCATTTTGACTTAGTGAGTTCAGCCCTTGTCTCCTCATTGGTCGATCAGTTTACAACCCTTGCAATGGGCGTCTGATTCTCTGAAGATGGAAACTAATCTGACCAATGATTGTTAGACTTAATTTTTGAACTCAAAATGACCTTAAACTCTATTGGTTAATTACGTTCCCTTGTCCCACCTCAAGGAGTGTCGTCAGCGTACAGTCTTCCCTTAAGTTTACGCAACACGCCGCCTTCAATGGCGTCTCGAGGCTTTAATTGCTTTGGGGCAAACCCTGCAGTTTTCAATAATTTCAATGGATTGGGAATTCCTGTAATGCTTAGGCCACAATTCGAGATGTCCTCTTAAATAGTTACAAAGTTATACAAAGCATTTAGGTAAAACTAACGGTGACTCTCTTCTGGAATTTTTTTATATATTTTTAACAAAATTAGCTTCATTGGAACTACGCAGACAGAAGGTAGAATCGTATCCAGCCTGGCGCACCTGCTCCTATCAGCTAGGGGAAAATTCTACTAAAAACCTAGCTGTTTGTCTCCTCTTTTTCTTTTTTCCCACAACTATGACAATTTTTAGTAATATGCTAGCCTTCGGGAGTCTGAGATATCCCATGATACGCCTCTGACGTGTGACCGTTCATCTGCTAACCAAATGGTTGAGATTCAAATTTCTCAGCACTTCTTTGGTTATAACTTTATAGTTATAGCAACCAAATGTTATTACAGAATAGATCTCCAAACCCTGTTTTTGTCCCGGCCTATTTGAAAGGTCCAACTTTATAGCATCCGGTCCTATTATCTATTTTCTTCAACGAATTTACAAATTGATAACTTGGTCAGCTACATTTTCAATGATTTCATTGATAAGCGGATTGATGGTATTTTCCTAAATATCCGAATAAATGTCTCCATTCAAATTTCTATTAATAAACAATGGCCCAATCACTTTCTTTCCTAAAATGCCTGCCCATACTTTTTGGGAGGTACTAGTTATGCCCTTCTACAAACGCATGAGGATTTTCATTGCTCCAATACATGCCGTTATACTTGAACAAATCGATCTAGATAAAATGTGCCTTCATTACTGAAGCAGATATTTACATGAATTATATTATCATTAATCGCTGCATCCATTTGTTCACTAGACACAAAATCATTTTCGGTTGACTCTTGCAATATTATCATTTTGAATGGATGCAATTTATGACGTTGTAGTAACAGTGTGTACAGAGCCTAATGAAATACCAGTTGCTGCAACAATTGTGCGTAATGAAGTATTAGGATTTATTCCAAAATGACCCAAAACTTCCAACTTGAACGGCTTCATCCAAACGCTCAGATGATCACGATTTTTATTTGCAACAGATCCAGTTTGAGTAAATTTAGTAAGAAGGTCCAAAACACACCTATGCGAAGTTATGTCTGACGTTAAACGTGATGGCACATTGATTTTGGGCACCATAAATTAGAATCATTTCCATTCTTTCGGCTAGTGTGTAAACCATTTTGGAAGTAAAATCTGAATCAATAAATTAATCTTCACTGTCCAAAGATTGTCACAAACGTAACTGACACCAAATTAAATTCTTTCTTTCCCTTAGCAACAAATAACTAAACAGGTGTAACAATAAATACAGTTCGTGTTGTGATGAAAGGAATGCGGAAAAAATTCGGGTTGTTATTTGGTTGCTGCCACGTCTAATATTCCGCATTGCTGTTTATGTTGGTAGTTTCCGTTTTAAATTATAAACAAATTGTAGATTTGGCAAACCTTAACGGGCAACACTTATTGAAATAAAAAGTGATATTTTCGGGTGAACAAATTAAGATAAAGATTGTTCTAATTTTCTCGAAAAAGAATCGACCGATTTTAAAAACTCCAAACAAGCTGTTACTCGATACGCCTTGTCATTCAAATTTTTTAAGGGAATGACCCTTGGGGGGGTGAGGGTGAAAGGGGGCGAAGTAGTTTTTAGAAAAAAGTTGTACCCCTTTGTCAAATATTTTAACGTGTCTGGGCGTTTTTTAGTTTTTAGTCAGTGGTTTTCGATAAATCCGTGGTGGGAAGTTTTCAAATGAACACCCTGTTTGTAGTAGTTGGATGGACGGTCACAGGAACTAGACACATATGACACAAAACAAAGTGTATTCCGAAAATAGGAAACCAAAAAAAGACTAGCAACGGGCAATTACGTTTTCAAATGCACTTTTGGCGGAAAAGGTCAATAAATTCAGTCGAGCTTTCTCACATGAGAGATGCTTTAAAAGTTTTACCCTGTCTGTAAATTATATCTGATTGCTTATTGCTGAATATTTAATCAGTATTATCTCAGAAAAAAATTAACAGTTTAAAATCAAACAACAACTGTGCCGAAATCACTACTAAGCTCGTGCTGAAAAACTGTTTCGAAATTTTGGGATATCCCATATTAAACTGGATGAATTTTTCACTGAGAAGTAGTTCTTTTCCTGAAAATTTGAAATGCTCTACAATAACACCAGATCACAAAATAGAAAATTTTAAAAGATGCAGCGTAATGAGACTAGTAAATGTGTTACCAGACATTGAAAAGTTATTAGAGTCCATAGTGCATGACCAATTAATGCAGTTTATAGAAGAAAACAAAATTTTAGTTGAGGCGCAAGCAGAAAAAATGTTCCACAGAAACGGCTTTCCAGTTGGTAACTGAGAATTGTAGAAGAGCCATAGACTCAGGAGAAGTTGTCATAGCAGTATTTTTGAATTTGAAGAGGTCATTTGAAACGATTAAGATATTTTGTTAGGTAAATTGAAGGCATATGGTATATCCGGAAGTGTTTTAGATTGGTTTAGAAATCTTTTGTCTAAAAGAATGCAAGCTAATGACACTGTTTCATCAAAAATTGAAAATACCTTGGGTGTTTCACAGGGCAGTATCCTGGGACCACTTCTTTTTATTTTATACATAAATGATTTACCTGCCATAGTCAAAAAGTGCAAGATTTTAGCCGATGACTCTATGATTTATATAAGTACTAAAAATATTCAGGCTGGTATCTCTTATATAAATGAAGACTTGGTTAGCATCTAACAGACTCAAATTAAATACAAGTAAAACGAAAGCTATGTTAATCGGAAAAAACAATTTAAATGCAAGGGGGTTTTTGTTGACTCTCGATTAATTTTTGATATTCATTATGAAAAGGTTATAAATAAGCTTAGTAGTAAAGTGGGATATTTATCACGAGTTTCTGGATGTCTGAGTTCATATAGCAGAAAAATTATCTATAATACCATCATTCTTCCAAATTTCTTGTACTACTATCCTATATTTAGCAAATAATTGCATTTTTAAAAGACTGTAAATTTTACAAAACAAGTGCATGAGAATAATACTGAATAAAGATTAGTATACTTCAATTAGACAAATACTTAGCAAATTAAAATGGCTCAATGTAAAATTTTTTATCAAATATCTTGTAACGATATTTATTTATAAAGTAAAAAATAATATATTGCCATCAAGTCTAACTAATTTAACATCATCAAATGCCGACCATCATTTACACAATACCAGAAATAAAGATGACTTCCATTTAATGACCAAAATACTACAAACCTGTATTCCATCAAGGGTTGATTGATTATAATAAATTATACACAGAGATAAAAGACCAGAAAACTTTGACAAAATTCAAAGTAAAACTGAGGGATCACTTGTTAAATTTACAATTATAGCTTGTCCAGCATTTACATCATACATCATATGGCTTTAATTTACTAATTCTAAGTTGTTTACAATTATTCTGTTTATGTAGCCAAATGTGTTAAATAAATCTTTCTGCTACTTTCTACTACTACTAATATTTACCGTATTTTCCAAAAAGAAGCATCAGATACCTTATGCTGTGTTTGGACGTTCACATGCAATTTCCGTTGTCACGGCTAAGCTCCCAAGCAGGATCGCAGTAGTTCCCTTTGGACGGAACTTATTCCCAAACATGACTACAGCATTCCAGAAAACATCACCTTAGGTCCCAATTATTCCAAAAATTTTATATTCTCAGAATTTCTCAACAACGGAAATTGAAATCCCACAATCTGCTGCAACAGTCCGAGAGGTGGCGACTCTACCGCCTATAGACGGTGGTCAACAGGTACCTAATTGGTTGTACACCTAAGTGATTGGCGCAGGCACGGCATTCGTTTAAAGTCGACACCTTCTGGTGCAATACGTTAATCAATCATTGAACAATTTACAGAGACTTCCGAAGACATATCACCATATGCGACATTCCAACTATCGGAGCCTAGTACACTGCCGCAAAATACGATGTTGCACAGCTTCATGTACCATGAGCATCCGATGACAGAAGGTTGTGCTTCACCACCTCCAGCTACCTCCTCAGTTCAACGAAACTCACCATACTATAATATAGTAAGTCAAAAATGTAAACATATCTTCATACTTAGCAATGACTATCGTCATTAGAAAAATAACGCCTTGTTGATGTTAACGTTTTGACACATCGGAAACTGACAAAACCATATATCGATGGCTTTCTGAGAATGCGGTGCCGACCAGTGATTAAGAACAGACACCATCAGCTAGTGACATAAGATCGCCCATAGTACCAGGGAACTAGGAACTGTTGGAAAATGATTTGTGCTATACGTATATAGATATTAACCCTAAAACAGATCTAAATGTGAGCAGGGTATCGTACAACGGCGTATAAGAGTGGAACACTGAATATTTTATCACATTTTGGATAGATGTTGTCCAAACAAAAAAGTAATATACACCGATACCGACTCACTTTTCAATCACGAATGACTAATTTGAATGTCATTTAGCTTATGTTTATTCAAGGAAATATTTGTATTTTTCAGCAAAAATTTCAAAGTACAAAAGGCCATGGAAGAAGGAGAGCTAACAGAAAGAACGACGTGGACAGTGATGACAGCGAATCAGATCAGGATCAGCTGACATCCAGCAGAACAGAGTCTTCCAATCAGCTAGACATGAAACACAAACATAGTAAGTATAATATTAGAAATCTTTTTTTCAAGAACGCAAAAGCGGTACAGCCTATTTTTCATTTGAAAAAGTAGGTTTTGTTGCAATAAATTAAAAAAAATTATCATAAGGAGTAATATTATTAACACATGTATATACTAATGTAACTAATTTTCTTATTTTTCAGATGATCATTCAGTAATTTATTATATTCAAGTATGGTAAATAAATCGATGTGCAATAAACACGTTACATTTTGTAGTATTCATTACATTACATGTCAAACAGTGTGTTTTGGCAATTTGAAAAAATAGATAACATTCAACAGTTTTTCATTCAAAATATGTAGGTATAAGAAGTCAACCTCCAAAGTCCCTTATGGCAGTATGACTAAGTTGTTCCCCAACCACATTCTCTTATATTAAAGCATGATATGAAATGCCATTTTCATTCAAAAAATTATCATAGAATAGTTTATCACATAGTAGTTTTGTGTCTTGATAACTATGAAATAACAGTTATCCTAGTCAGTACTACAAACTTCATCTATAGTAGATAATGTAGTAGTTTCTCGTATTGTTGATTGTACTCCATTCATTTTTAGTCTCGCAATCGTATAAGCGAAAATTCCTCGGCGTCTCTGTCAGAAATGTTTTATTGTATTTCTGCCTAGTAGCCATTTAAGAAGGATGTAAAATTGAACTAGTATATATTTATTTCTAGACTTCGTGTATCATGGAGCCCAATCAAGCACCTCATCAGACATATCCCCAATGTCAGAACAAAAGTCGTTGCCTAGACGGAACAGAAACAGGTAAACATAAAAAACATTGATTACTTAAAGACAGGCTGAAACTAACAATAATTTAAGACGTGATGAGGAACTTGTCAGACCTTTGAACGAAGATCGTGATATCCGACGAGTCCGATCTTCCTCCTCCCAGCATTGGAAGCAGGAAGAATCATTACATGTCCTCTCGAGGGATCGATGCCTATTAAGCTTTGAGAGATCCTACCGGAAGGCTAAGCACTCTTGATCAGTCGCCACGGCATTAAAGACGTGAAGGTTGTGATCGTTTTAACTGCCTTGACAGTGTAAGCTAACAAACAATATAAGCCATACAGATGTAAGGTTAACAGAACCACAGTTCGAAATAGTCAGCAGCATACGAATCAAGATGATAGAAACAATGCTTCCATGGTCGTGAACAGAGGTTCAATATAGTGACAAATTTCCAAAGCTTGAGGAGCTTAAAAAATGTTTTGATACGTTTTTCAAAGAGTAAGAATAAAACCGAAATCATAATAACAATTCCTTACAATCTTATTTGCTTGTCCTTGAAAATAAGCCCTCTTTTGAGGAACTATAGTTGTAGTCACCGTTCTTGGCAGATCAAAGTAAGACTATCAGTATCCCTTTATAGATGGTGGCGCAGAGGAAACTCATGTTTTCTGGGTGAATAGTATTTCGGAAAGAGAAGTGGGTTGACCTTGCCTCACCGCCAGCAGAGAACACAGGCAATGCAGTTTTAGCCATGGCACCGTGGTTAAATGAGAATCGTGTGTTTGCCGTCGAGCAATTTTTGAACATGTTTCTGCGATGTTCCTTGGCTTCCACACTTCCCAGATTTGTCTGCATGTGACTTCGTTTTGTGGGGTTACCTTAAGGCTAAAGTGTACCCTCACAAATCCCGTACGTTACAGGAACTGAGAAGTGCTATTCGTCAAGAACTTGCAAGAATACCTCAGGAAATGATCCTACGTGTAATATACAACTTTCAAGAGCAGTTGGAGATGTGCCAGCGCGAATAAGGGCGACACTTGAGTGACATAATTTACCATAATTAATTTAAAAGTGCACTATTATTACTTTATTTAGCTTTGGTTAAAATAAAATTATCTTAAAAATGTTATGCTTACGTGAAAATCATGCGTTTCCTTTGCGCCACCCTGTATAATATCTCCATCTCCCTCATACATACACATGCAACCTACCCCTGCGTATGAACGCTTGTTCGGTAAGCTCAAACACATACGTTTTTTAGTTGTGTGTCTCCGTCTCGAAAACTTTGTCGTTACGTATGAATGCCCGTCAAACATATTTGTCAGAGTGGAGAAGTTACTTGACATCGGCATGCAATTTGAGTTGTCCTCTTATCAATCTTCAATATAAAATTGTAAAATGAAATTAGTTTTGAAAACAGCGGTTCCCTGTTACCCTCTTCATGCGTACTGGCGGGAGTATCAGATGCGCTGAAGATTAGTCTGCGCAGTGCTCAGCGAATAAAATCAGAAAATAAGAAAGGTTTGCCCAACACGTGGGAAACCTCACAAAATCAAAAAATGCAAGACCGATTATGTAGGTGTTGCCGTCAAAATAGAAATCAGGAATACTTTCTACGAAATGAGAAGCAAAGCACAACATGACACGGCCTCTGCGCTCAATCAGAAGCCTAAAAAAAGGTACATATACAAAGCGTCGAATTCAGGTTTAAGACGTCTATTGAAAGCTTGAGGTTTTCCCTACAAGACCTCCGACTCTTGTGTGAAATGAAATTGTTTCCAAACGTATCTATTTTACAACACATTATATGAATAACCTGAATAGTACAAGCTCTTTCCAATGCGTTTTATTAGATGATACGTGAATAGTTGCCAAATGTAAAGAGTTTGAAAAGCTTTCAGGGTACCGGCAAGCGGTACGTTGTTCTCCATGCTGGGGCCAAAAACGGTTTTTTGAGAGATACTGCATTGTTATTTGCCACAAAATCAAAACGTGCTGACTACTACAATTCCATGGACGAAGATTCTTCCAAAAAATCGGTATGTGAGAAGGTGATACCAGCGTTACCAGTAATCATGGATGCGTCTTATAGTCAGAATCACGAAAGATGACTATTACGTCATACCACAAATTGTACTGAAGTAATCAATAGACGTAGCTCGATGATAAAATCACGATGTCAGGAATAATGACAACAAATTTATATTATGATTTTGGGAAGTTAGGTTATTTCACTGATTATTTTTATTTTTATTTTATTTCATGGCTTTGAGTAATAATAATCTTAGTGCGGAGTTTTTGTTTTGAAAAAAACAGTTATGATTAGCATACCTTAAAACAGAAACACCAAAGACCAAAGTATTATTCTAAAACAACCTAACCTGCTTTAACATAACCTAACTATTGATCTTTCAAATATGATCATCATGCAACATGAAAACATCGTCTATCTTTGTCGGATACATGCATTTTAGCAATACAGTTTGTTTAGGCAATAAAATTCTGTTTTTCTCTGTCTAGCATATCTGAAACTTCATTAAAAATATTCACAAATCGCTACAGTCTAAAATGATGAAGTAATCGTCATCGTTCGTGATTTCGACTATATCTAGTGCCTTAACAGAAAAAATAACCAATTCCCGTTCGGGTAAACTGCAATTGAAGCAATGGCTACAAGACAAAAAGATACATTTTGATGATTATGCTTTTAAGCTCCAGCTTTTAAATCTATGACGCCATAATAAACCATCGGCTCCAAGATATATCATAAACGAAACATTACATGAATATGGGCATCAAGTTTTGCAGCTCTCTTCTTACTTGTCAAGATAACCCTATTGAGTTAGTCTGGGGAATAGCCAAACAGTACTATGATCGTCATATTGGGGAAAATGGCCATGGTGACAAGGAAGTTTTGAAAGTTTGGAACGATGCTCTAGCGAAGGTGACTCCTTCAGTTTGGGCCAAGTGTGTGAAACATACCTGGGATTAATTAAAAACGACTGGGACAAGCATCAAGTGTTTAATAAGGAAGAGACTATTATAATCATTCACTTGGGAGATAGTTCAGATGACGCTGATGAAGAAATCCAATAATTCATACTTTTATTCAAACAATTTCGAAAATTTATAATTCTTAATTTTCTATGTGTGCACCTTAATGTAGATTGTTAAATATTTTGATAGATATGGAAGTTACAAGCTTGATCTTTATTAAGGCGACACAGATTTAAAAGCTCGAGTTTATGAGCATCATCATCAAAATGCTTATTGTGTCTAGCAGCAATTTATTTAGTCGCATTTCACTACAGGAAAAATTGAGCATTTTTACTATTGAAGATGGTTCTTCTAAAGCTCTCATAAGCTTGGCACATATCCACATCGAATGTTAGATGTTCCATCAAGTTAGCAAATAGATGCGTTATGTCGTATTATATTGTAAATTCCGTATGTATTTCTTATTACAACTTTAAAAAATATCGTGACATACTCTACCCTTGTTTATGTTACTAGATTAGAAGATTTTTGAGAATTACGATTAGCAAATTTGTGAATCGGTTTCCCTCAGTTAGGAAAATTAAGATCCGCCCATGCTACGGAGACTTGATCTGCTTACTCATTTCATATGGCGTTGATGACGTAACCGCCAAGAACGGTGACTACAACTATACCGCCTCTGTTATGTACTTTGCTACTTTGTGGTGGAATTATTAAACTGCTTCTATACTCCAGGTGGCTTTCCCAAGGTGGTCGCAGCAACTCCCAACGGCAGATGCTGTCCCACCTGACCGTGGCCGAAACGGCGTTTACGGAACGCCCACCCGCCCCTGCACCTACGCCAGCGCCCAGCGACCAAGGCACTCCTGATCGGATAGAGCTCAGCGAAGCTGAATGCGACATCGACACCCTCAAGAAGCTCAAGCTGGGCTTGCGCAGCAGTCTTTGGGCACGGCCTGCTACGCAAGGAGCGCAACAGGGTGGAAACTTGCATCCTAGCGACTACTCGATCGCGGTGTAACAGGGCTTTAGACAGTGGGTGGTGTAAACCGGACTTCGCATCGCAATGTGGGTAGAACAGAGCTCTTGAGGTTGCGAAGTAAGAGGTCGGTTCTGCTGTCCATAGTGGAAATGGTTTTGTATACTCTATTGCTTTTATGGACCGGCTAAAGCTGTATTCGCCTTTATCTGTCGTGACAGGTAGGAGTTTAGATCCAGAAACTAGTTCCCCACCAAGACTATTATGAGCGGAAAAAAATTTTGATCAAAAACGATGAAATTGTCTATATGTCTTTTATCAATACTTAAATAACAATTATTCAAAAGAGATTTAATTATCAGGCTGAGTATACACATACAGGGTGTTTATTTGAAAACTTCCCAGCACGGATTTATCAAAAACCACTGATTATAAGAAAAAACGCCTAGACACGTCAAAAGATTTGTCACGGGGAACAACTTTTTAACCAAAAACTTCTTCACCCCCTTTCACCCTCTGCCCCCCAGGGTCATCCCCTTAAACATTTAAAATGACAAGGGGTATCGAGTAATATCTTGTTTGAAATATCGTTCGAACTCCTTTATTTTGACGTTTGATTTTTTAAAATCGGTCCAATCTTTTTAGATAAAATTAGAAATATCTTTATTTATCTTAATATCTTCAGATAGAAAATAAAAACACAAAAACATCACTTTTGTTTCAATAAGTGTTCAAAATGTTGCCTGTTATTGGCCAAACAATGATATAGGCGATGTTCAAATTCCTGATGGACATTTTCAAAAACATGTTGTGAGATATCATGGTAACTTTCGATGATGCGTTAACGAAGTTCATCCAAACTTTCAGGTTTATATTTATATATTTCATATGTCCTACAGGTAAAACCCAATTATAGGCAAAGCTCAAATACATTAACAAAAAGAAAATAAAGAGACACATTGAAAAATTAAACTTAGCATCAATTGGCCTAAGTAAGCTTGACTTATAGCAATTTATGATTGATTTACAGCTGCCGTTATAAATATCGCACAGATCACAAATGGAGTTCATCAGACTGCACATTACGTAAATTGGAGATTTCAACATTACGTTCGTCCGGCCTGCTTGACAATAAAAGGCTGATTGTTTACGACTTTCAAGCCTTGGAATGAGGAAATACATTTTTTCAAATAAGTCCGGACAGTCAATTTAAAAACATATTACGTCTAATTGATAGTGAATCTAAATCGAAAAAATTCAAAAGGGTAAGATGACAAAAACCTTTTTCTGGATAAGAACCAGTACATTTAAGGTAAAAATACTTAATAGCCTTACATTGAATGCTTTCAATCATTGAAACTGAATTCAGGTATATTGGAGGCCAGATCAGGGTTGCATAATCCAACTTGCTTCTGACAAAAGTAACGAACAAAGTCATTGAAGTACTGACATTGGAGAACCCCTTCCAGTTTCTGATACAGAAGCCAAGTAGTCTGGTGGCAGCCGATGAGACATTAAATATATGTTCGCTAAACATTAGCCTGCTATCAAAGGTTACTCCAAGGTCCTTAAAAGAGTAGCATCTGTCTAGAACCTGATCGTTAACGTTATAATCATCATATATTAAATAATTAGTCTTTCTTGTATAAGACACAACTTTACATTTAGAAACATTTAAACTAAGACAGTTTCGCGAGCACCATGAAAAAATTAAGTCTAAATTATCCTGCAGCATGAGACAATCATCAATTGACTCGACCGATGCGTAAATCTTAACGTCGTCAGCAAAAAACAGATGCAAACACTTGAGATCAAGAGACAAATCGTTAATAAAGATCAGGAACAATAGTGGGCCTAGATTCGATCCCTGAGGCACCCCAGATGTGGCCTGATAATAACTACAATAACAGTTTGGGAAGTAAACACAATAGATTTCAAATGGCCACATAGAAAAAAGTCTAATTGCATCAAATCAGGAGATCTAGCAGGCCATTCCATAGGCATTCTTCGGCCTATCCATTTATCCGTAAACTCGTCGTCTAGCCATTGCCGAACCGAAAGATATTTTAGCCTCACCAAGTATAGGGTTTCCAACCTCTTCGATTTTGTTTTCAATGGTTTCAGTGATAAGCGGATTGATGGTATTTTCCAACAAATCCAAATAAATGCCTCCATTCAAATTTCCATTAATTAACAATGGCCCAATCACTTTGTTTCCTGAAATGCCTGCCCAAACATTAATTTTTTAGGGCTACCGGGTATGCCCTTCTACAAAAGCATGAGGATTCTTATTGCTCCTATACCTACAGTTATGCTTATTAACAAATCCATTTATATAAAATGTGCATTCAGATATTCATTACATGAATTATTATTATTATTAATCGCTGCAGTCATTTGTTCACAAAACTCAACTAGCCTATCGAAATTATCTTCGATTAACTCTTGCAATATTGTCATTTTGAATGGATGAAATTTATGGAGTTTAGTAACTGTGTGTACATAGCCTAATGAAATATCAGTCGCAGCAACAATTTCGCGTAATGAAGTATTAGGATTTATTCCAAAATGACCCAAAATTTCAACTTGAGCGGCTTCATCCAAAACTCTCCGAAGATCACGTTTTTTATTTGCAACAGAACCAGTTTGAGTAAGTTTCGTAACAAGGTCCAAAACATACCTATGCGAAGATATCTTCCCCGGATGTAGATTTTAGGCACCATAAATTAGAATCATTTCCACTCTTTCGGCTCGTGTGTAAAACATTATGGAAGTAAAATCTGAATCAATGAATTAATTTTCACTATCCCAAAATTGTCACAAAGGTAACTGGCAACAAATTAAATTCTTTCTTTCCCTTAGCAACAAATAACTAAGCAGATATAACAATAAATACACTTCATGTGTTGTTGAAAATAATGCGGAAAAAATTCGGGTTGTTATTTGGTTGTCTAATATTCCGAATTGCTGTTTATGTTGGTAGCTTCTGTTTCCAATTATAAACGGGTTGTAGATTTGACAAACCCAAACGTGCAACATTTTGAACACTTATTGAAATGAAAAGGGATAGTTTCAAAATAAGATAAATAAAGGTTTTTCTAATTTTCTCGTAAACGAATCGATTAATAAAATAAAATGTCAAAATAAAGGACTTCGAAAGACCTGTCAAACAAGCTATTACTCGATACTCCTTGTGATTTAAAATTTTTGAGGGAATGATCCTGGGGGACGCAGGGTGTAAGGAAGTGGAGAAATATTTGGTTAAAAAGTTGTCTCCCTTGACAAATCTTGTAGAAGTTAATAATAATAAAGATATATATTGAGGCCTTAGAGTCGAAGTAAACTCTGGCAGTTTAGTACAAGCATCGAAGAAGCTTCATTTCGCCATCAGATAAGCAGCAGTTCGCTTGGACTGCCTCGATATTATTTTTTTCAAAGTACAAATTAATGGAACTCAATTTGAAAACTAACCAGAAATATGAGGCAGCAGAACCATTGCCACTTTAACCTCATTAGCTCCATAATGTATATTCCCATTTTGAACACACGTCTTTCTCAACAAATTTAGAGGTGTTCCAAACTTCTCATGTAATTCAAGTAGATCTATGCAGTATGTTCAAAACGAGGAAAACTAATTCTAGGCTAGTAAATAGAAGTCTACAAGAAGACCGCGATAGTTCTGATTGCCTAAATAAAATGTACAAATATGATGTAACGAGTATTAGGCTTAAGTCCAGCATCTTTTTCCGCAACAGTTAACTTGTCAATGCAAATTCGCAAAATCGGTTCGTAAGTCTGTCGTTTAACGAACCCAGGAAACAGAACATCATGGAAAGAAGCAGGTAATAAGCAAGTCGAAATTGTTCAATAACTTCCGTTTTCAAAATCGGTTAAAAAAGCTTGTCTTAAGGGTGCAATGTAGCGATTAGGTGGGACTATACGGTTTGAATATTAGTTTTCAGTTCAGGACTAAATGTTTTAAAATCATTGTTATAATTCCATACCCTGACTAAATTTTTTCATAGCCGCTCGTTACCATGTTCCTAATTGTCGCAGACGCACTTTGATGTACCAAATGTATACGGATCCCTCATGATGGCGAAGACAGCACAAATAGAAAGATAGTGGTGGAACATTTATAAGAAATATAAAACATCAGGACTATCAGTTTTTTTGTAACCTTTCTCTATTCACTGTCTCATTCGTATGTGGAAGATGTTAGCCGGGGTTTCGTGTATACAGTAAGTAAGGTGAAACTTTAGATTTAATACGTAAATCCGAATTTTCGTCAAATTAGAATGAACAAGTTGTTTATTGTGTATGTGTGCCAAATAATTCATATCCTAAGACATCGGTATGCTTCATAGCATGAGATATTCTCAAGCATAAAGTACTGAACAATGCAAATACTGCACTGTATTTTATATGTTTACATAGTATGATAATTCTTATATAATTTTGGTAATGTTACTGAGATGTGTTTATAAAATTGGCTCATCTCACGCAAGTACTGTATATTGTGAAAAATATGTTTGTTATGCCATGTACAGATATGTAACAACACCGCGAACCGAACCGCAGCATGAGCATTTTGACGAACAACATTGCAACGAGCATCGCCACAAACCGAACGACGTCGTGCAACCACATTGCGCAACAAAATGACGGTCCAATTTTGATGTTTGTCGTTCAGTGACAGACAAATAGTAACTGAAATGGATATAGCATTAGCAGCAGCTGCCTATATCTATATTCACTACGAATTATCTAAAAGCAAGTGATGATGACGTCCGAGACGATGCGATGGTGGGAAACGCAGTTACATACCAATAGATCAGCACACAATTTGATAACGTAATTGCCATTTTCCTTTTACATAAGCCAGCTGTTGTTCCCATTGTGAATGCTCCCAGGCATCGTTTTTTTTTTTTTTTAATTTATTGTAATTACATCCCACATCAATTCCGCTGCTTTGTAATGATCTATAAGCAAAAGAGTTTTCTCCACCGACCATTCCATGTTTTCTTCACGGGGTCTATCCATATACAGAGATGAGCGCGTGCTCGGCGCACCGGTTAACCTGACCATACATGTGCAACTTCGTCGCGAGCCATTCGTTTGATGTTGCGCTAAAAACTGACAGAGCCTGGATCGGGCCGAACGGCGAGCTGTAATGCTATTCAGGTTCGCGACGGTGCGGCGTTCTTTTCAACGTATACGCTAGCGCGGCGTGGTTCGTCGCGTGGTTCGGTTCGCGGTGTTGTTACATGTCTGT